TCAATATTTATTATTAAACTATAGTAATGTTTGATTACTATAGTAAGATAGTAAGACAGTAAGATATTGGCCAGAGATAGACAAAAGATAAAACATAAATCCCAGGAGCTGACCCATGAATATCTAGAAACTTAATGTAGGATATATGTAGCATCACAGGTCATTGGGTAAAGGATCAACTGTCCAATAAATCATGTTAAAATAATTGATTTTTTTCCATATGGAAAAAATAAAAATATACCCAATCTCACACTGTAAACAAATATAAATTCCAGGTGATTAAAAACATGAATGTGAAAACCAAACTTTTTAAAATTAGAATATATTGGCCACAGGTATTTGGGATTCTCACACAAAACACAAAAATCACAAACCATGAAGGAAAATACTAATAAACTCAAGGTATTACAATTTGCTATTTCAGTTCATTACATACCATAAAAATAAAAATATAAGACAAAGCAAATGTATTTGCAATACATATAACTGCAAAAATGTAGTGCTCATAATACCATAATATTAAAAGACTTATAAACAAATTGGTAAAGAAAAAAACAAACAACTCAAATGAAAAATGAGCAAATGATACAAACAGGCAATTCTAGACAAGAAAACCCAGTGGCCAATAACAGTATAAAAAGTAGGTCATATATGAATAGATGTTAAGCAACTGGACCATGAATCCACTGTGAGTGGATGTGTAAGTCAGCAGGGCCACTTTAAGACACACTGCTGTTTCCAGTAGAGTTGAAGGTGAGCACATGCTTCAACCTAGAAATTTCACTTCTAGATGTGTATCTCAGAAGGCACAGTATTGTTCCCTGGGTGCATTTGGAAATCTGTCAGCTATCACCTGACTCCAAATTGTAAAATTTACCTCCAGTCATAAAAACACTAGAAAATTAACAATTTTGTCCTAAAAGAAAATGAATGTAATGGGTTGTATCCACTTAGCTATATAAATAGTAAGATTTATTTCTGCCTTTGCTATCTTTTAGCGAATTGTCTGTGATGGGCATCATATTCTGGTTTAATATTTATTCAATAATAAAACTTATTTCTCTTAAAGAAAAAAGGAATTAAAACTCATTAATAATGAGGGAAATGAAAATCTAAACAATGAGATGTCATTACATACCCATCAAAAAATAACAAATAAGAAAATCTGACAATAACAATTGTATGTGAGGGCATGGAGAGGCTATAAAATTTCATACAGTCCTGGTAGAAGTATAAATTGGTATATCCACTTGAGAAAACAGTTTGGTGCTATTTAGTAAATTTGAAGAAATGCGTAACCTGTATTCCAGCAATTCTCTCCCAGAAACAAAATAACTCAAAACAAAAACCAAAATAACTCTTGCACATGTGCAACAGGATACATGTATCCAAATGTTCATAGTAGCATTGTTTTTAACAACCAAAACCTATAAACCACCCAAATGTGTTTAATAGTAAAAGAGACAAACTTCAGCTACCTGCAACAATATGAATAAGTATCTCGAACACAATTGTGTAGCGAAGGATAAATCTTACCCAAAAAGAAGTCTAGACTTTGCCCCTCAGCTAGTGAGAGTTGATCTCTAGTCCCTTGGGATGTCATGCCTGACAGGACTGTCTTTGTTTGCCAGTCTAACAGCGTGAATTATACCAAAGGCTTTCAGCCAGCTGGTACCCACTCTACCCCTGGGAGAGCTGGAGGCTAGAGGTCAGCCACACACAGTCAACCATGGAGTCTCAATAAAAACTCTGGACACCAAAGCTTTGGCGAGCTTCCCAGGTTGGCAATACTTCATGCATATTGTCAAATATTGTTGCTGGGAAAGTAGTGCTATCTATGATTCTATGGGGGAAAGATGACTGGAAGCTCCATAGTTAATAGTTTTTTGGACTCTGCCCTATGTATCTCTTTCCTTGACTGATTTTAATTTGCATCCTTTCCCTATAATAAACCATGAATGTGAGTAGAACAGCTTCCAATGAGATAAGTGAATATTTTAGTGAATTATCAAATGTAAGGGTAGTTCTCAGACCCCCCTGAATTTGCAATTGGTGTGAGATATGAGAGTAGTTTTCTGGATTGCAATAATGTTCAGAGAAAGAAGCAAGTTACATACATTCACACATACATACATATGTACATACATACAGTATATACCATATATAAAGGTCCAAAACCAAGCAAAACAATGAAGACCCTGAATCTCTTTGTGCAGGTTGTACGTTGTACAACTCTAGGGAGCACTTTCCCTATCATAGCCTTTGTACATGGTGCCTTCCCAGATTCATGCAAGTACAAGCTACTCAAATGGACAAGAAAATATCATAACAAACATTCTCAGTAACAGTATAAAGTCATATATATGAATGATAATCTCAAAGTTCAGGAAATTTGTTACCTCTTTGGTGAAGAGAGAGGAGAAAACAATCAAGAAGGTATACACAGAGGACTTAGCTATGGCTATAATATTTTCTTTCTTAGGCTGGGTGGTGGGTATATGGGTATTCTTTATGTTCTCTACACCTTTTCATATGTATAAAATATTTCATTATTGTACAACTCTATATTGAAGGAGCAAAAGGTAGAAAATAACCCAGAAAGGGAGAAAAGGTCAAAGATAAAGATATATGGGGGAAACTAGCAGAACATATTATCAGGAAAATTTTTTACAAAAGGAGTTTTAAATAGGACACAATGTTCAATAGTGCTTCAAGGAAGCTAAGGATGATAAGAAGTGATTTGTGGATTTGCCAATTAGATCATTCTGATCTTTCAAAGAGAAGTTTCAACAGAGCAGTGAGGGTGAAATCAGATTGTAAGAGGTTGAGGAGAGAAGAGGAAGTGATGAAGTGGAAACAATGAGTGTTGATGGCACTATCTGGAAGTTCAATAGTACAAAACAAGAGGTGGAGCAGGAACTGTAGCTGCAAATAATGTCATGGTTGAAGTTAAGAGTATTTTTTGGTTTATTTTGTTCTTAAGGAAGGAGGGACTTGAAAGCTAATATTAGAAATATTGAAGATTGGAAAGACAAAAATATAATTTCATTGTAATTCTTTGGGAATAATTACTTTCTTTTCTCATGTATATCCCAAGAAGAGGGTATAGTAGTTGCAAGTGATTTAAAGTTTCCTTAGTGACATCAGCAAGATGGCAGAATAGGAAGTTTCAGGCTTTACTGCCACCTAGAAAAAGTTAAACTAGCTATCCACATACCAGAATATCTTTCTGAAAACCCTAGTACTTGAATGCAAGCCTGAGATGCAAGCTTCCCATGGTTCGAAGAACTTAATGAAAACTAAAATAAAAGGCCTTACTTTGACCACACCACCTCCTCCCTCCCCCAAGTCAGCACAATGCAGACAAAGGATTTCCCTGGGTTCATAGTTTCTACATGGGGAAAAGAGAACTAGAGGTGGTCATCCAGCTTTCCTAGCATTCTGAGATGCTTCCCAGTAAACCCACTCCAGTCTCACCTCATGAAGAACACTGGGGTAATGGCAAGGCCAGACCATCTAAGGTCAAGTAGAAACAAAGAAAGGAGACAGAAGCAATAGTAACCAGCATGCAGATTTTGGTGATAGCTCTATGTTCCTATCACCTGGGGTACCCAATCAGAGATATCAGCCAACTTCATAGCCTATCTACAAAGGTGAGCTAGTCACCTTCAGAAGCACAGAGGGAAGTTCATTCTAGCTTGAGTGCTTAGGCAGCTAGTTTCAATACTGAGCAACTCTCCAGCAATTGTTCCCAGGCACAGAGATGCCCAGCTCCACCTGTTTTGAAGAAGCAATGGGGCCAGACCTACTTGATCCAGGAAGAAACACATCTGCTCAATTCAGTCAAAGACCCATTCCATGGCTCCATCCTGACAGGGGGGCAATCTTCAATTGCACATTACTCAAGAGCATAGCCTCTATTCCTGCCTGCCCCAAGCCCAAGCAGTGAGTTTGCCTAACCTCAGGGCCTAACCTGCCACCCTGCTCAACTTCAGATCCCAAATAATCCCAAATTCACATGAATTTCCCAGCCAGGGATTACATCCTCTGACTGGCCTACCTGGAAGACATGACAATACCTAACCAGCAGTTTTGCATTATAACAGAGCACAGCCAGTGTTCTTGCCAGACACCAGAATCCAGCCAGCAGCCTCAATCAACATCAGAGCAAAGGCAGTAATCCTGCTAACTAGGAAACCCACAACAAGCTCTGCCTGACTGAAATTGTCACCAGCTGGCCCTTCAAGAATTCCAAGATAGATTAAATAGTGAAGGTCTATCCCTGCCAAAAAACACCTGCAAAGGCCAGAAGAGAGGACTGTCTCCTCAAATGTGCAGACAACAATGCAAGGATGCAAGGATTATGAAGAATCAAGGAATGATGGCATTGCCAAAAGAAACTAATAAAACTCAATAATGGACCTTGAAGAAATGGAGATCTATGAAATGACTGACAAGTCACTCAGAATAATCCTCTTAAAGAAATTCAATGGACTACAAGAATACATGGATAGAAACTTAAACAAAATTTGGGAAATAATGCATAAACAAAGCAAGAATTTTGACAAAGAAATAAAAACAATAAAAAAGAACCAAATATGAATCGTAGAGATAAAGAATACAATGATTGAAGTGAAAAATTCAGTAGAAAGCTTTAATGGCAGATCAAGTAGAAGAATCAGTGAGCTAGAAGACAAAACACACTTTGAAATTATCTAATTAGAAGAGCAAAAAGCGAAAAGAATGAAGAAAGCCTGTGGGAATTATAGGACATCAATGAGAGACCAAACTTTTCCACAATAGGAGTTATAGAATGAGAAGAAGAAAAGCACTAGAGTGCATATATAAAGAAATAATGGCTAAAAATATCTCTAATCTGGGGATAAATGCTAACATTCAGGTACAGGAAACATGGGTGTCTCCAGTAAAATTCAACCTAAGAGTAATTCACCAAACCACATAATAACCAAACTATCAAAACCAAAAGACAGGAGGCCGGCTCTAGCAACTCAAGATGGCGGACGAGAGTGAGACAGCAGTGAAGCCGCCGGCACCTCTGCTGCCGCAGATGATGGAAGGGAAGGGAAACGGCCATGAACACTGCAGCGATTGAGAGAACGAGGAAGACAACAGCTACAACCGGGGTGGTTTGAGTCCAGCCAATGACACTGGAGCCAAAAAGAAGAAAAAGAAACAATAAAAGAAGAAAGAAAAAGGCAGTGAGACAGATTCAGCCCAGGATCAGCCTGTGAAGATGAACTCCTTGCCAGCAGAGAGGATCCAGGAAATACAGAAGGCCATTGAGCTGTTCTCAGTGGGTCAGGGACCTGCCAAAACCATGGAGGAGGCTAGCAAACGAAGCTACCAGTTCTGGGATACGCAGCCCGTCCCCATACTGGGCGAAGTGGTGAACACCCACGGTCCCGTGGAACCTGACAAAGACAACATCCGCCAGGAGCCCTATACCCTGCCCCAGGGCTTCACCTGGGATGCCTTGGACCTGGGGACCGTGGTGTGCTAAAAGAACTATATACCCTCCTGAATGAGAACTATGTGGAAGATGATGACAACATGTTCCGATTTGATTATTCCCCAGAATTTCTTTTGTGGGCTCTCCGGCCACCTGGCTGGCTCCCCGAGTGGCACTGCGGGGTTCGAGTGGTTTCAAGTCGGAAACTGGTTGGGTTTATTAGCGCCATCCCAGCAAACATCCACGTCTATGACACAGAGAAGAAGATGGTGGAGATTAACTTCCTGTGTGTACACAAGAAGCTGCGCTCCAAGAGGGTGGCTCCAGTCCTGATCCGAGAGATAACCAGGCGGGTTCACCTGGAGGGCATTTTCCAAGCTGTTTACACTGCCGGTGTGGTACTACCAAAGCCTGTTGGCACCTGCAGGTACTGGCATCGGTCCCTACACCCACGGAAGTTGATTGAAGTGAAGTTCTCCCACCTGAGCAGAAATATGACCATGCAGCATACCATGAAGCTCTACCGACTGCCAGAGACTCCCAAGACAGCTGGGCTGCGACCAATGGAAAAAGAAGGACATTCCAGTAGTGCACCAGCTCCTCACCAGGTACTTGAAGCAGTTTCACCTCACGCCAGTCATGAACCAGGAGGAGGTAGAACACTGGTTCTTCCCCCAGGAGAATATCATCGACACTTTCGTGGTGGAGAATGCAAATGGAGAGGTGACGGATTTCCTGAGTTTTTATACACTTCCCTCCACCATCATGAACCATCCAACCCACAAGAGTCTAAAAGCTGCTTATTCTTTCTACAACGTGCACACCCAGACCCCTCTTCTAGACCTCATGAGCGACGCCCTTGTTCTCGCCAAAATGAAAGGGTTTGACGTGTTCAATGCACTGGATCTCATGGAGAACAAAACTTTCCTGGAGAAGCTCAAATTTGGCATTGGGGACGGCAACCTGCAGTATTACCTTTACAATTGGAAATGCCCCAGCATGGGGGCAGAGAAGGTGGGGCTGGTGCTACAATAACCAGTTGCCAGTGACATTCTGGATAAAGCCACTGAGAATTCCAACCAGGAAATGGAACCCCACAAATTGGTCCAATTTTCACAAACGTGAGAATCCCTGGCAAAGGGAACAGAGCTGAACCGCTTTACCAAACCGCCAGCGAACTTGACAATGTATTGCAATGGCGTGGGCTGCGTGACGTCACCTTTGGCTGTGTCTCTGGTCTCCCTGTTTTCCAGTTAATCACATCCTCATGCAGCCATGATCAAGGGAATGTAACTGCTGAAAACTAGCTCGTGATTGGCTTATTATGGAGTTAACGGGTGAATAATAAAAGTATATATATGTTATAAAAAAAAAACCAAAAGACAAAATTTACTTTCTCTTTTTCTAAGAAAAAACATCAAAGACAAAGAAAAAATTCTCAGAGCAGCAGGAGATAAGAAACATATCACATACAAAGGAGTGCCAATGTGACTATCAGTAGATTTCTCAGCAGAAACTCTGCAGGAGAGAGTGGGAGGAGAGGAAAGAGCCTGACTAGTGTGACCACTGTCATGCAGGGAGCATCCAGAAATTTAACATAAAAGACAAGAATACCTGTAGAAGTACTGTCACAGAATAAACACGGCAGATCCGCTTGTTCCTAGATAGTAATCCCTGCAGCACTTACAGGCTTTTGTAGCAAGCAGGACTGTCCAACATCATGAATGTCATAGATTCATTCCTGCCTAACACATGACTTAAAATTCCCCATGCTTGTGAAAGGTATGGAGCTGTGCAGAAGGAGAAAAAGGACAGCAAGTTTCCTGTGGAATTTATGATACTATACAATGTCTACTAGGACAGGGCTGAGCTGATTCATTATCACAGCTGTAGCTGATCCAGTATCACAGCTGTAGCTGGTCTAGGATGGTTACCCAACAACATATTTTACCTGATTTTAAATTTCAATTGTTTCTGTGCTTATAGTATATACATAAATAACACCTAACTTTGGTTATTAATAGTCAGCATATTAGCACTCTTGACTGGGATGAAACAGAATACAACCTGGAAGAGATATATTTGTTTTCAGCCAGATATTTTTCTGTTTATCAACTGTCTGAGTCCCTCATGGTGTCAGAGGCTGAGTCCATGTCCTCTTAGAAACTACGGGCAGAGTCTGATATGCAAATGGTATAGGACTAATGTTGGGGAAGTCTTGGCCACCAGAGGCAAGTGAGTATATTTCCAGTTCCACTCCCTCTTATTCTAGGTTCCCGGAATCCATTTTTTTACTCATCTTTTGAGCTTTCTGACCCTTACTCTTCAGTAGCTGCTTCTTACTGACCTATTTCTGATCATGGGTCTTTATTGCTGAACTTCTTTGGAGGGGTCTCCTACCTCCCCATTTCCACAACCATTCCCCTTCAGCAGTTGCTGCTTGGCTGTTTTCTTCCCTGCTGGGTACCATCTATAGGCTCCCATGACCTTGGCCAGGCTCCAGAGTAGCTGATGAATCAAAGTCATACCGATCAGTTACAATACTTATTTTGTCCCCAAGACTGATTTTGACCATTTTCCTCCATACCTGTTAGAGGTCTCATGAGGCAACCCCATATTTATACAAATCAATGTCAAACTCACACCTGCAAAGGTCAAAGCAAGTAACAAGCAATAAATGATTAAAGCAATTGGTAAGGGAGACACTAGGATATGGTGGGGACTGAGGCAAACCAGAGAGTCTACACCCCATCTCAAGAAGATGTATCTAAAACTCAGCTTGAACCAACTGTTACCATGTTGGAACAAACTAAGGCCCACCTGTTCCAGATCCTTTGACTTTTCATAAATCTCTCAATTTTTTTTATGCTGGAAACTAACATTTAAAAATATATACTGTATGAATTAACATAACACTATGGGGGCCAAACAAAACACATCTGTGACCCCATTTTGTGAGGTCTGATGTGTTACTTAATAACAAAAGTGTCAAGAGAGCATTGACTTATAAATCTATGATGGACAGCAGCAGCAGATCATGACTGCGAGCCACCATGCGGTTCTCTGGCTTTTATCATTTTGTAATGAGCAGCATAGATTCAGGCTGCAGAATGTTATTTGTTCCTCCTCCCCTGGTTAAGTAGAAAAAGGAAAGAGAAGAGCAATTGCTAATGCATTTTAGGGACACCTCAATTAGGCTAGATAGTGATAAGCTGAACTTTGGTTCCAAAGTGATAGGCAGCCCCAGAGAAACTAAATTCATGTCTGTGGACCCAGGGAGGTTTCATGGATCTCAAAACCCTATGTTGGGGGGCGGGTTTAAAGTGAAGACATTATGAGCTGGAGCCTAGCCTTTGATTTGGTAGCAATTAAGGCACTCAAAGAATGAGTCTTACACACAAGTGACAGCAAGGATTACATTTACTTCTCATAGACTAGTTACCACGTTCCTTTCCTAAATGATTCCTGTCATTTTGCACCCACCAAAATATGCCCTTAAGAACTTTATTCACCACCTCCTAAGCTGTATTATTAGGTCAGTTATATGCAGGGTTTGCTAGAACCCTGATCCTCTAAGGCTCCAGGGTTGCCTGGTGGCCTTGTGGCAGTTGGAGACCCTGAGCCTGACACTTCTGACAAGCAGCCTAATCTGCTTACCCCAGTGCACTATAAAAATATTATTATTTTCAATATGCCACAATGAGGACAAGATCAGAAAGCACAGCTACCTCATCTGTCTGCAGGATTCTTTATGGATGGGTTTGCATTGGAGGTGGCCTTCACCTCTGCCGTAGGTGCATTGCTCAGTTCTTTCCCTCCAGGACTGCAGCACTTGTTTCCCTAGCTGATGGGAGTGTTGGCAACTGACAGCTCTCAGCTGAGTTCCTTAATGGGGCACACCTTCCTCTTAAGAGAGCCACCTCACTCAAGGTCATTCTCCTCCTCAAGGGCAGCCTGCATACAAATGACCGTTCAATGATCATAATAAGTTTGAAGAGCCACCTCAAATCCAGAGTTTCTGTAAGTTTGGCTGAGGCCTCTGTTTCAGTGCATTGCAGTTTAATTTCCCTTTCTGCTCAATCCTGCTTTCTTTGCTCCCTACAGGTGTTGAACCCAAGAGTGCATTCAGCAATCCTCCCGCATGCAAATCTCCATCTTGGAGTCGGCCTCTCGGAACTGACCTGCCACAACCTCCTGATTGAATCTCTCTTTCCCATAAAACTCATCCCCTCTGGAAACGTGTAGAAACATAACTAAGCATGGCCTTGCCATCTTAGATGAATCTCATTTCAACGTCCATTTCCTGCATAGGTTATTAAGGTCTTAATTCTTTCTAAATCTTTTTTCTCACATAGGTCATGAGGTCTGTCCTGTTTTCACTGTCCTGGACTTCAGTGAGGTTTAGAGAACAAATTTTACACAGTGGAGAAGAGAAATAAATCCACAAGAAGTAAAACAAACTCCCAGTTCTAACATCCTCCCTCCATCTCAGGCAGCCACAATTGCCAAATATCGCTGTCTAGGGGTAGACTCAGGTTTGGATTGTCCATACTATTTCCCTAACTTAGATAATAATTACATTAATAATGGACATTACTACCATCGATCCTATACTTGCTATGCCATAAGCTCCACATTAAAATATTTTTAGTATATTATCTTTAACTTTTCCAACAAACCCAATGAGGAAAGTATTATTAACTTTCCTATAGAGGAGGCCGGGTGCGGTGGCTCACACCTGTAATCCTAGCACTTTGGGAGGCCGAGGTGGGCGGATCCCTCAAGGTTAGGAGTTCGAAACCAGCGTGAGCAAGAGCGAGACCCCGTCTCTACTATAAATAGAAAGAAATTAATTGGCCAACTAAAAATATATATAGAAAAACTTAGCCAGGCATGGTGACACATGCCTGTAGTCCCAGCTACTCTGGAGGCTGAGGCAGAAAGATCACTTGAGCCCAGGAGTTTGAGGTTGCTGTGAGCACAGCACTCTAGCTGGAGCAACAGAGTGAGACTCTGTCTCAAAACAAAACAAAACAAAACAAAAAACAAAACAAAAAACCCCAACAACTTTCCTATAGAGGAATACTATGAGAAGAGCCAAATTGCCTGAGATCATACCATTCTGGAGCTGGGACTAAATGCAGGATCTTTCTCCCCTCAAAGCCCTATCGTGTTCCCCTGCTCCACACTCTCCCTGTCCTCTATTCTTCCCACCTCCTCAGTTCAAAGTTTACTTTGGAAGGAAAGCTTCCTGAGGGCAAGGAGTTCCATCTGTTTTGTTCTCTGTTGTGTCCTTCTGCCTATTCAGTTGTTTGCTGAATGGATGAATGATATAATCTTGCCAGAGTGGACTCACGAATCAAAGAATGCTGAGGAATGTCTGAACTCATTTTTGAGCAGGAGCCAGGGCTGCTGCTAGTCATATAGTACTTTAGTGCAAATTAGAAAGGGAGCCCCTTCCCCGAGACACCTGTATCCACCTATCAGAAAATTTTCCCAGTATATGGACTAGTTAGAACAAGACACTTTGCTGTCATCTAAACTGCACCCCCCCATGCAAAATAAATACACAGGCCTATGCTGTGGATGATGCTTTCTCCAAGGTGAGGTGGTGTTGTCGTGTACCTGCACAGCCATGTGTGCCGCTCTGCTGAGGACTGGCCACACCTGGTTTATGCATTTGCCTAACTAGGTATTAGACTCAGATTTATCTTATTTTCTGTTGGCCTTGAAACCATTTTATTTATTTATTTAATTAATTTATTTTATTTTTTTGAGACAGAGTCTCACTCTGTTGCCTGGGCTAGAGTGTGGTGGCATCAGCCTAGCTCACAGCAACCTCAAACTCCCGGGCTCAAGCAATCCTCCTGCCTCAGCCTCCCGAGTAGCTGGGACTACAGGCATGGGCCACCATGCCCAGCTAATTTTTTTCTAAATATTTTTAGTTGTCCAATTAATATCTTTCTATTTTTTAGTAGAGACAGGGTCTTGCTCTTGCTCAGGCTGGTTTCGAACTCCTGACCTTGAGCTATCTGCCGGCCTCTGCCTCCCAAAGTGCTAGGATTACAGGTGTGAGCCACTGCGCCAGGCCCACTTTTGTTTTTAATTCCTCACTTATCTATCTTTTCCCAACTTTGAGATAATAGCCAAAGTCTCAGAAAGTTTGTTAGACGATAGTCTTGGTATTACCTGGGCTTCCCACTCCATAAGTTCATGCTTTCAGAGAGCTCTCTCTTCACTCTTTGATGGAGAGCTATTTTCAAGAGCCATACAATTTCCTGACATTCTTCTTTGCTTGTTGAAGACAGATCCTCTTGAGAGAGTACAATATCTTAAGTACTTTAAAAACACTGTGAATGCCATTGC